TGTTGCATGTCAAAGTCGTGGGGAATCCTTTGATCATCCTTTCCTGCCTTTCCAGTTCATAACACTTGCAGCTTCGAACGCTGCTAGTTCTTGCACAGCAGCACGTGTCATATTTTCACCAGGTCCTTTATTTACGAGTAATTGAGGCAGAATCACATAAGTGACCTTTCTCAGTTTTCATATTCGCCAGGATGAAGCTTCTGATACTAGTGTTAGACAGTTTTTCGGGTAGCACGTCTTCGACTGCATGCTTTTCTTGCAAAAGTTCACGTCTTTTTGGTGAGCTTTCGACGCGTAGCGCCTTCGTCAAACGTGTAATGAATTAAGTGGAAGCTTTCAAAGTCGTGTGTGTTTCAAAGTGTTGATATATTGGACTATATCAACCTGTATTTTTGTCTTTTGCGATAAATATTTGAAGTCTCACATTGTTTATTGATATTTGGTATAATCAGCAGAATAATCATTAACAATGTAGTTATCACTCAAAATCTGCTTGAACGACCTGAGGCGGCCGCGCCCGCAAAATCGCCGCGGTCCCACGTGGCCAAAAAAGCCAAAACTCGCATTGTCGTCAATGTGTTAAAATAGTGTAAGAACCTCCATACCGGGCTTGACCAAGCACACTCTACTTACAATCTTTTCACAACGGGCACTTTTCGTAGGCTTCAGGAAGTGATAAATACAGATACAGTGTCTAAACAGGTTCTAGAAATTCTTATGTATGCGTAGGCATTATAGTCACACGACAGCGACTTTGTCTATCAGCAGAGCAGCGACTCAAGCATCGGGCCTCTCACATGCAGGAGTGGTTTCGACAGCATGGGGTGCTTTTAAAAGACCAGCCAGGCCAGACTATCGAGCCAAACATCACAGAATCGCTGAAGATGATGTTGCAAAGACGTCTGTCAAAAAAAAACAGCTTCGAATATGAGCAGAAATCTAATAATATGCGAAAGGAATTGCAATATTCGAAAGGAAATGCGAGATGATCTCTTATCAGGAACTTTCAGTGAATGAATTCAGTTTTTCAATGTATCACCGACTTTAGAGTGTTTTCGGCAATATGCTAGACTTGTTACATTAAAGGACGAATTCACGAAAAGGCAACCCATTTCAAATTAACCTAGGGATGGTGAGTGGTACACGAAAGAAGGAAGAACCATGAGAAACGGCCCAGAACCCGAGAAATGGGACCCCTTCCTTGCCCGTTGATTTGAGCATTGATGCGACTCTCATCGCTGTGCCCTCTTCAACACTACGCTCTCTCACCTATCTAATCCACGTATAGACCTGCGGCGAGTGATCAGATGATCGGTGGGCGTGCACTGGCCCACCGCGCCAAGATTGAGCCTTAATAGGTCGCCGAGGTCAACTCCTTTCGGTGCCAATTGCGCTTCAGTTCGCACCCTTAGGAGGTCCGCGGGTCCCTCAACTAGGTGAATTTCTGAACCTTCATTTTAATCGTGAATTCGTCCGTTCCTTGATGTTACTGGCTGTGCGGTTGATTAATCTGTTGGTAATACGTCTTTTATTTGAATAAACTGACTACGTGATTTTTCATCTGCATCCTGAATTCGACAAATCTATAATTTTTCAAACCTAAAGTTTGAGCTAAAGGTTGAAATTATTTGCGTGGATTACAAAATGCTTATTAAGCAACTGGTGGGAATTTCGAGGAAATTCAGTGACTTTCATAAGAGGAAACCTCAAAAAGCCGTTCGTTGATAGAATTTTGCCGCTATCTTTGAATGGGCTTGCGGAGGGCTCTAGGACCTCTGAAAGATAGCAACTCCTTCAAGTTTCCCGTCTTTTTTTGACTCCTTTCATCTGTTTCTTTACTGCCCGTTTATATCGTAACAATAGTGTCGAATTGTCATATTCGTAAGAACTTCATCGGTTGGATTTTGGGGCATGCCATTAATGATTCTAAAAGAAAGCTATGAATTGAGTAAGTACACAGTATTCTGCTGAATGCTAATCGGAAGTCTTTTTTAGATGGTCGGTCGTAGCGTTTGCCTTTGCAATATTCCTTGCTTTTATCGATTGGCTAATTCTACAACTCATCGTGACTATCCGCCGTGTGCCTGGATGTAGCTCATTCGGCTGCTTCACAAATGACGTATGCATCTGTTTGCTTAAGTGGCTTTCATCCATCCATTTATCCCTTTTTTCAGATTTTCCGCGAGTACTGGGGCCTGTCGAATATGATGATGAATCTGCTGTCATGCTTTTTAACAGTCGTGATCATTTACAATCTTTACAAACGTTCAAAGGTTGCGTCAGAAGCGATCCAAATTGAAAAGCAGAACAGAAGTAAAATTGATAAAAGCGTAAGTTCTATTGTGTTTGTGAAGGTTCATTTCAATACTTCCCTCCAAGGAAAATATCACACGCTGCGAAGAAGAATCTGTGCATTTCACAAGAATGCTGGGTTGTGAACAAAACTTTCGCCCCAGGCGGGACTAGAACCCGCACCTCTCGCTTTCCGGGCAAGTGCGCTACCAGTTACGCTACCGGGGCACCATTTCATTCCAACTCAGCTTTTCATGGTATACGTACCATAGCTTTCAGCACTCACACGTATAACGTGTTGAGCCGGTTAGCCGATATCGGCAATGACCGCGAGGCTGAAAGCTTTAGCAATGAATTTTGACTTGTTTTGTTTGTTAACTGCTGTTTTAACGCCGCAGTTCGCGTTGCGAATGTTTCACAAGAATGCTTCATTGTGACTAAACTTGCGTATAACAAACAAACATAAAACAAAATTGAAGCATTGTTCATTCCATACAGTTTTGTCTATTGGTGCCATGCATAGGTAGTTCAGTAGGTTAATTAGTTAATGCATCAAAATTGACATCATGGTCGGATATCAAAAGATTACGGGGACTAAGGTCCCAAGTTTTGATGCGACTATTGCTGCAATCACTAACTGCCGATAGAAGATGCTTAAACTAACATAAGGGTAGCCCATCAAGTAACTCCCATTAAAGGGGCGCAGTTTTAAACACACTGATGAAAGCGCGAGCCACATATTTATTTATGTACGTTCCGCCCTTCAGACCCCATTTTCGTATTCCAAAAATGTGTCGAAAGTCTATATGTTACGATAATCGGGGAAATAGTCCATCTATAACAGCTGACGGTGGGTTAGCTCTGAAGAGTGTCGTAAAATTTGTAAATGGATTGTGTGTTTAGGGCGCAGCACGTGTGTAGTCAACAGTCGGTGAGTTTGGCAGTAAGTTGTGAAAGAATTTTAGAAAGCATGACCTGGAATTGGTATCGAGTTGCTTTAACACATTCACGACGGCGCCCCTTTTTCCACTTTCGGTCGCGTGGGACGGACGCGATTTTGTGGGCGCCGCCGCCTAACCTCACATCCGGATTTTGTACTGTAAATGAACAAAAACATGAATGTCACAAAATAATTTGTGCAATGTCCAATGCGTAAAGATTATCTAAACATATAACAGTAGGATTTCGATCAGAACGACAAATAGTGGTTACGAAAAGAGAGCATTATTCACTTTCCCCGTGAAGGAATTTAGAAAGGGCAATCATCAATTACGAGATTTGCCCACTACCTTCATTTCGTAGCGCTGGCAAGCCATTATAGCTGGCAAGCGCGTTATGGGTTGCCATGTTACCATGGGCACATGCGTTGGCAGCCTACATGGCGCGGGACGTGAAACATAACGAACACAAAACAAACAGAAAGCACAAGCCCGGGTAGAAATGGGGACGAGACATCACAATGTGTATCAAGGCAGAGACAATGTCAAGTTGTTTGCCAACGGAACTCGGTGCGAGCGATGTACCAGCAACTCGAAATTATAAGAATGGTGGATGTTCCTATTGTCTGCACGTTGACCCTCTTCACTTTCCGGGTTCTCATGTCCTTCCGCGCTCTCATGCCCACGTGAGCCCAGATGTGGCGAGGGTCAAGGTGCAAACGAAAGAGACTCACGTCACTTCCAAACTTGGCACATCGCTCGTACCCCGCAATTCGCCAGCAATTGCGCGGGTTCACGAAGTCTGACACTTGCCACATGCGGCCGCAAGAGCGGACCGTATCGCGGTTACACCAGCATTTTTCAATCTGGTCCATATCGTTATCCAACTTGTGAAGACGAAGCTAGTTGAAATTGCATTTCTTTCATACTAATGGAAAAAATAATTAGTAGGGAGAAGGGTTGTTTTTTTGTGAAGACAAAGAGAGCATTCGTTCTGCATTTCTAGGCAAATCGTGTGGCACTGTACATTCTACTCGTGTCTGCTTTGATTGGTGTAGTGCCGGGATGCATGAATGGTGTGGGCACCGTCGTCAGCATTCCAGTGAGTTGCCTCGACATTAATTTACATATAATCAGTTTTTTAAGTGACTGGATTAAAAAAATAGAATCCTCACTACGGTTCTGCCCCTCAAAAGATTTAGTGGTTCGAGGTGAATTTATTCAGATGCTAGATGAGATATCTTTTTTCGTGGGGACTTGCGCAACACTGTCTGGACTATCTCATGCGTTTATTTTCGCTATGGCACATCGAGAAATTAGACACTACATCCGTTCGAAAATCTTCTGTCAAAATGATGGCAACTCTAGTCGCTTCGAATTGAACAGTATCGCCGTGAGTTTGAGTCACTATAAGAATTCTAGCTAGCCCCGAAACTCATTGATTTCAATCTGTGACTGCTCAATATTATCGTTACCT